AACACACATATCCCAAGATCCCCAATCGCAATTAATGATGAGCGCAGTAGTTCGTGTCAAGAATGCTTCCGGAAATTTCATACAGTGTCGTGCCTTATTAGATACCTGCGCAACAGCACATTTCGTAACGGAGGAGTTTGCCCGAAGTATAAGGCTACCGGTACGTCCGTGTCGTATTCCGGTCGGCGCGATTGACGACATGAACACCACATCGAACGGCGCGATTGAATTTTCCTTTCACTCGATTCACAATGATTTCCAGAAAAAACTTTTATTTTTGATAGTTCCAAAAATCGCAGAAAGAGTTCCAAACGCGACGTTTCCACGCGAAACCATTAATATACCGCCGAATTTAAGCCTAGCAGACCCACAGTTTCATTTACCTCGATCGGTCGATATAATCATCGGATCCGGGGCAACTCTGTCCTTATTATCAATCGGACAAATTAATCTTTCTCGAGATAATTGTGATTTATTTTTACAAAAGACTCAGCTCGGATGGGTCGTTGTCGGCGGGGTAACGTCCCCCGACGGAAGGGGAATTGTCTCATGTAAATTAACAGAATTGACGGAACAAATCGCGAAATTTTGGCTTTTGGAAGACACAACCGCGAAACCATTTGAAGTATCGGAGGACCCGGAATGCGAACTTCATTACACGCAGAACACGACACGTGATAATTCCGGGCGTTACACCGTGCAACTACCGTTTCGTCCAGCGGAACGAGAATTTGGAAATTCGCGAGCGATTGCGTTGCGTCGGTTTTATGGAATCCGGAAGAGGCTCGACGCTAATCCAGTACTTAAACAAGAGTACGAACGCGTAATGAGCGAATACATTGACTTAGGCCACATGTCGTTGATATCAGACGAAGCCGAGGGCGGATATTATCTCCCTCACCACGCAATTACCAAATCCACAAGCACTACGACAAGGGAGTTGTTTTCGACGCTTCGGCGAAAACCAATAAAGGAATATCGCTTAATGATACGTTAATGACCGGTCCCACAATTCAGAGTAAACTTTTCGAACATCTGGTGCGATTCCGCACACATAGATATGTACTCACTGCCGACATCGAGAAAATGTACCGGCAAATTTGGGTGCATCCGAACGACCGCCAATATCAGAAGGTTTTTTGGTATCACGAGAGTCACATTCGTACTTTTCAACTGAATACCGTTACTTTCAGCGTATCATCAGCTCCCTTTCTTGCCATCCGAACGATACAGCAACTTGCGAATGACGAGAGCACGGACTTTCCTATCGGCGCTGAAATATTAAAACGCGATCTATACGTCGATGATCTTTTGACCGGTGCGGACACCTTAAAGGGACTTTTACAAATTCGCGACCAGACCATCGAAATTCTGAAACGCGGCGGTTTTCATATTCGACAATGGGCTTCGACCCACCCGCAAGCTCTTAAAGATTTGAACGAACGAACACTAGACGTAGAATTCCTCACCAACGAAAATCCGATTCTAAAGACATTAGGCATTACTTGGAATGCGCGTCGTGATGAATTAATTTATACGGTCAACCCGATCAAAACAAGTAATAGAGTTTCTAAACGTCACATTTTATCCGCAATAGCAAAAATTTTTGACCCTCACGGTTTACTCGGCCCGATTATTCTTACGTCAAAGGTGTTAATGCAAGAGTGTTGGAAGGCAAAAATTTCATGGGATGAATCAGTACCCAGCGCATTACACTCCTCGTGGTCATCGTTCGTAGAACAACTCGAATTGATTGATCATTTGACCGTTGATCGTTGTTTGATAATCAATAAATTCATTGAAATTCAAATTCACGGCTTTTGCGACGCGAGTAAGATCGTTTACGGAGCCTGCTTATACGTGCGATCCCGCAACGAGCAAGGTGATACGATCGTAAGACTCTGTTGTGCCAAGACGCGCGTCGCCCCTCTTAAAGACATGACCATACCTCGACTCGAACTCAGTGGGACCCTTACCCTCGCGCGTTTATATCGTGAAGCGTGCACGGCCTTTACTTTTAAACCGAATAAGGTCATTTTTTGGACCGACTCCATGATCGTATTACATTGATTAAGAAAATCTCCAAATGTCCTTAAAATATTCGAAGCAAATCGTATCAGGGAAATTCAAGACATTACCAAAGACTTTGAATGGCGGCATGTTAGATCGGAACACAACCCGGCTGACGCGTTATCGCGAGGTCAACTTCCGCGAGAATTCTTAAAAAACGACTCCTGGTTTAACGGCCCAATGTGGCTCAGACAATCCGAAGCAACCTGGCCTAGGACTCCTGAAACTCCCGTCAAAGAATTACCCGGTTTAAAGAAGGTCGTTTGTTTAGTCTCACAAATCAACTCAGACGACATTTTCAACAGATTTTCATCTTATACGCGATTAATTCGTACCATTGCATACTGCCTACGGATGCTGCGTTCAAATCGTAATAAAGGCGCACTTTCAGTGCAAGAAATAACCGAAGCCGAACTACGAATATTAAGGCTTATTCAGAAAACGCGGTTTGCAGTCGAAATAAATCGCATTACCAAGTCAAAAGGGATAAAGGGCACGAAATTAGCTTCATTAAGTCCAATAATCGACGAATATGATTTGCTTCGCGTCGGCGGCAGGCTGCAAAATGCAAACATCTCCCTTTCGCAAAAACACCCAATATTATT